TACTGGGCAGTGACACGTCTTTTAAAAACAGGGTGTTCCCAAACAGGAGACTTAATCCTGCCGGCGTTACTATAGAGCAACTCAAGTCCAACTCTGCTTGAATTCGGAGGTTGGAGGGAAGCAGGAGTCAAACTCCCGTCCTCTGCCCGGCAGCTTTTAGAGGTGGCCCCGATTCACATCAAAATGCCATTAGCAAAGCCCCACGATGACCAGAGGAGATCCGATTTAATCCAAATCAGGTGTGCAGAGGCTGGAAAATGTTTAAAAGCTGCGGGACCCTCGAGGACTGGAGTTTGACCCCCCTGATTTGAAGTATAACTGAAGTTCTCGTGAACGGTTTGCAGAGGAACGGGAGGAAGCTGAGGCCGTTTTCCTACCACATGTGGTGGACCTCGATGTGTGCGTCCAGGATGGCCACCACGTCGGCGGTGGCCGCCCTCCAGCCGGACGCCCGGGCGTGCGAGAGGCCTTTCTGCTCGCTGTGCCTCACTCTCACGATCCGGACGTGCGGGTGCTGCTCCTCCAGGGACTTCACGTACGCGTCCAGGTCCCCCTGCAGGTCCTCTGACATCAGAAAGGAAACCATCGATTTAGAAGGACACGGATCCCAACCTTTAGTGGAGCGGTTGACCCAAAACAGAGGCGGTGGTCAGGGGCCTCTGAACGAACAAGACCTGCTTTGTCCAACCGAACGTCACGGGAAAAACAGATGCTTTGTCATTATATTCGTGACATTCGGATGCTGTCTTTGAACCAGGCCACTCACACCATAACTCAGAGGCTCTTCGCCAAAGGCGATTGCTTTGAATCGTAAATCTTTGCATTCCAAAATCCATCTCACGATGTTTAGAACGATCCCTTTTGATCAATTCTGTTTTCTTTTATGTGTTTTCATGACAAATTCGAAAAGATTTCCAGCTAAAGAAACCGAGAGGGATTTGGGTCATGAGACGTCCCCGATATTTAAAAAAAAAAAGGGGGAAAAAATGTGTTAAAAAATTAGGCTTCCATGATTCCAGCCAGAAATACGGCGTACAACCACCACAAATTAAAATCTGAGAAAGAACCGACACATGTGGATCTCTCATTTGGAGAAACAGTGTTTGAAACTGTCTAAACCGAACATTGGCAGGAAAAACGGAACCACCCAAAACCCCGGAGCTAGAAAAACTGGTTTTGTGAGCGTTGTCAGAAAAACTGATACATGGTTGAGGAATGCTAATCTCCTATCTCTGTACGGTGACAGTACAGCTTATGAAATGACATCTAACGTCTGCTTAGCTAAAAAAAAAAAGTCAGTGCCAAAAGCTTTGAGACTGTGAGGGTGTCGACACAGAGAACGAAAGACATAATGATAGTAGAAGGGCCATGTTTGTTTTTTCTACGGTGAGAAATGATGATTATAAACAAATTAAACTACTAATCTTCACACGTGTCAGCATATCAGCAGGGAAAAGTCTGAAGGTCCAGTAACCCTTAAGGAAACCAGAGCTACATCTCAGACAACGTCAAAAACATGCTGAACAGGTTTGTTGGAAGGGGCGACAGGAAAACGACAGAAAAGCCCAGGCCGTTTTCAGAGGGACGCTGCCACACCACAGATGTTCGGTGGTGGGTAAACACAATCGACAAACACACGGACTCCAGATTGCTTAACTCAAGCATGATGCCATCTGTCTGACATCTAAAGCCGAGCCACACCACAGAGCAATTACCTGAAACGCAGCACCAATTCACAGAAAGCAAACATGCTGCGTTCACGCCTTTAAATATTTCCAGAGAAAACTGATTATTATTTTTAGATCACCTGGCAGGAGATTGCTAAACTAAAAATGCAACATCATTGTGTTAAAAGGGACAAATGATCTCGACAAAATGAACTAAATGTAAAGAATTATTCGAGAGTTGTTTTTCTGAAATTGAGTGAGTGCCTTTTTTTCCCCCCACTCCTCTGTGAAATGCTCTTTAAAATCTGCTCAGATGTGAACGAACGTGGCTCAGGTGCCCAGACACCGGTTTTGACCCGCAGGCCGTCTGGACAAAGCCCACCGTTTGAGCTGCTGTCGTCCACCATGATGATCTCCTTCAGGATGTGCTTGGGCGTGCGGTCGATGATGCTGCGCAGGGCCCTTTTGATGATGGACAAGGCCTCGTTCAGGTAGATCAACACCACCCCGAGAGTCGGCAGGTCTTTTGGGTAGCTCTTTTTTAAGCACCTTCGCAGAGGGAGAAAGATTTTCCATTAGCTCCGCTCCTCCAACTGAGCGTGAACAGAGAGTGGAATGCAGTCAACAACAAATTGATTGACAGGAGTCTGTTAGTAGGAAAGAAGCCAAAACCAACCAGGAAGTCATACCCTGGATCTCTTGTTTCAGGAAGAGCTCGATCGAGGGGAAGGCGATCACTGAGAAAAACGTTGTATCCATACTTCTCAAAGAGACCCTGAGCCTCTTTCTGGTCTTCCTCAGACAGATTCTCCCCCCACTCCATAAACAAGGCAGATTTGGGGAACAATTTGCCCGACTTTTCCTTTTCGGGCGGCATCTTTTCATCCAGGGGCTCTTTCTGTCCCGGCTGCCCTCGGATCGCTCGCTGAAGAGCGGCTTCCACTTTTACCCGGTTTTCTCTGTCTTCTCTGTGCATGGAGTCTTGCTTTTGCTGAAAATCTCGGAAGTCTTTCTCTTTGGAAATGGGAGAGACCGGGGATGACAATAAGTGAGGTGAAAACAATGCGGCACACAAAGAAAATGTCAGTGTGTAATGGTTATGATAAAATCCACAGACTCACAGTCCCTTAGAAAACACTATATTGCTAAGATCAATAAAAGAAAGCCTTAATATTAACAATACATGTAGAGAAACAGGTTTTTTTAAAAAGGTTTTGAAGTTCCAAAAGAAACAGGAAACAATTCATGTTAGAAAAACCAAAATGCTGCTATCACTTCTTTAAAAACACATAAACGCAAATATTTTGATTATATTTGATTTTTAGCACGAATCTGAATAATAATGATAATAATGATGACAACAACAACAATGATAATAATAGTATAATAATGATAATGAATATTATCTAACTTATTTTTAAATAGATTTAGGAGAAGAATTTTCATTTATTTATAATAATAATAATAATAATAATAATAATAATAATAATAATAATAATAATAATAATAAAAATAATAATATTATCTCACTTATTTTTAAATAGATTTAGGAGAAGAATTTTCATTTAGCAAATCATCAGCTGTTGTGGTCTCTAAATTCAACAAGGGAAAAAAAAAAAAAAACTTAAATAAGCAAAAGGACCCAACTCACGCAGATTATTCAGACTTGCCTCCAGGTCAGAAAACCTCCCGACCTGACCGGGAGAAACCGACTCTTTTTCCGACTCGTGTCTTTGCTCCAGCCCGTTCTTCACATACACGAACAGGTAGATAGCGACAGCAAGCCCCCCCACAAAGAGGAGAGGCCGCTTAAAAGACCCCGATCTCATGATGGCAAGTCGCCGGTTGACGCCAAGTGGAGAATAAAAATGAGAAAAATCCCGTCCGTCCTCAGACTCCTGGCTGAGCCTCAAAGACGAGCTCTGGCATGCGACTTCGTTTTATGTTAATTATAAAAAAAAAAGCCCTGCCTCACACACTTCACATCACCTGCTGAGGCGTGGCCGCGCATCTGGCGCGCGCGTTTGCTGCCACGCACAAAACGCAAGAAACGGACTCTATAACAGGATTGATTGAGCGTGAGTTAATTTTGGGAGGAGCTGCATGGGGTCGTCCAGTGGCACAAACAGTCTAAAAAAAATCCCTCAAACCTCATAGGGAGGGTTTCCCATCCATCTAGTCATTCTTTTTTTTTTTTTTTTTAATCTGGATTGATGAGCCGGAAATTTCAACCAGGAATTTGGTTGTGATGTCCCAATATGTTAGGATACAGAAACCAGTGGTGGGCCGTCAGGGCCTTCAAGGCCTAAGAAAATATCTGAATCACAGACTGATGTTAATTATATTTTGTCCATGAAAACTTATTAAATATCTCGAAATAGTCTGTCAGCTTCCTTTCATAGCTTTCCCCCTGGTTGCGCTGCTTCCAGACATGTATTTTCATATAGAAGCATTTAACCAATCACATTTCAGACATCCTTTGTCGCTAGGCAGGGTCAAAGTCAAAGATGTTTGCCTGGAGGCCTTCACAATCCGTTCTGCAGGCCCCCCCCCCCCACAGAAAATACATGTCAAGTACATTGTTGCTTCAACCAATCAGATTTTAGGTTGGTGATGCCAGGGCCTGCACGAAGGCCCAGGAAAAGTCCCGGAACCCACACCCGCTGATTGGATAG